TTGCCCACCCAGCAACTTCCTGCCATCTACAGTGACCACATTCAGAGGCAGCGTGGCTGGTAGTAGCGCTATGCGATGCTGCTTGACGAACTGCACCCCCACGAAGTCTGCGTTGCTCCCTGAGTCAATCGTAATGGGGACTTCCAGGGTGAGTCCATTAGGCAGCTGGAGAGTAGCAGTGAGCTGCACCACTGGCTTGGGTGGTAAGGGGTCTGTAGGCTGCAAAAGCGCTGGGGACTGCTTCACTGACTTGCCTGGCGGAGCCCCAGCATCTCTCCCTCCAACCAGGCATTCTCGTTTCCCTGAAACTGCTCCCCTTGGAAAGCGTCCCCTGTTACTGTTGCTAAGGCTGCAGTGTGCTTCTGGAGCCTCTGGGGACACTCTTTAGCCATGTGCCGTGCACTGTCACAGATGTAACACTTCCTGGTCCCTCTAGGAGGCTTCGCTTTGACTGCTCCTGACGCTGAGGCTCCGGCAGCTGTCTGAGCCTTTGCACCACCCAGTTCCATTGGTTCTTCCCCGCTGCCAGCACAGGCGAAAGGTTTGAACGTTCCAGGTCCCTGGAAGGAAAAGGAGGCGCTCTAGCTGGTGGGCGGACGTGACGCCCCTCCTCCCTGTGCCAAGGGCGTTCTTCGTGGCGCACCCCTATCGTGAGTGCCCTCTGCACGACGTCTGCTAGGGTTTGAGGTCTGTCCCCTAGCCAGCTCATCTTTCACTGAGCCATGAAGCCCTTCCCAGAACAAGTCCCTCACTGCCAGGGAGTCCTTTTCCCAGCCCAGCACATTCAGCAATGCAAAAAAGCGAGAATGGTACTGACGCACTGTAGCCTTGCCCTGCCGCAATCCATGCATCTCCTGGCGTGCCACATCAACGTCAACAGTAGATTGGAAGCAAGCGTCCATGGCTTTGAGAAATTCATCAGAGTCCCTGCGTGCAAGACCATCTTCGCGCCACAAATTGCGTAACCAGGTCTCTTGCTTCCCCATGCAGATGAGACACAATAAAACCCACTTTTTCCTCCTCATCTTTGAAGTCTTTTCGAAGCAAATGCAGCGCGTATACGACGTCTGCTCTGAAATTGGGATAATGCTTCAGGTTCCCATCGAAGTGGGCTACTAAATTGCCCCCCCTCCGTCCGAGTCCGATTCCCTCTGATCTGGACCCCGGGAACCCCTCTCTGCACGCCCGATCCCACCTGGCTTGCAGATCCTGGCATCGCGCTTCTGCTTCGGCAACTGTCTTCTGAGAGACCACGACGGCAGTGGAGAGCTCGGTGACTGCGTTTTGCAGGGACGCTATCTGCTCCTCAGTAGTCATCGCTGCCAAACTTCGTGAGCTGTGCAAAAAAATTTTGCGGTTCTTTGTTGTGAGAGGGGACTTACTGTCAAGGCTGCCTCAAGTCTCAGCTCACAAAAGACCAACGCCTATGTCTTCTTATATACAAAGGTGTTTATTGCAGTTCATGGTTTGCTTGACATCCTAGGCGCGCAGCCTTACGTCTCTTACGCTTAGACCGCTGAAGTCCCCTCTGAGTCAGTCCCTCCCCTGCACCAATTTAAGAGACTTGCGCTGCTCCACCTCTTTCTCTCCTTCCTTTTCCGCAGGGTCCTTCTGCCCGCTGGGGTTTCGCCCCTCCTGGATTCCTCTGACGCTGAATCCCCAGACTGCTCTTCCCCCTCCTGCGGGCTTTGGGACCTGGCCCCTCCTCCGGGCTCCCTGTACTTCCGCGCGCCTCTACATTTGAACTAGGCGCGCGCGCCAAACCTCTAACTTTCCTTTTGACAGTTACACTACTCCCTTCACTGCTCCCCTCCCCTTCCGGAAGGGCGGCTTGCTCTGACCTCCCTCCTTTCTCTGCTCCCGGAGCTGCTTCCTCTGACACACTGGAAACTCCACCCCCTTCGCTGCACTCTGGTGGGGAGGCTGGTCCTGACGCCCAGCTGCCACTTTGGGATCCTCCGCTGGCCCCCTGCTCCTGACACGTCCCCCCTGGGGCTCCTGGCCTTAACCACCGGCGCCCCCTTCTGGGAATCCTCTGATTCGCTGGAAAGACTCATGGAATCTCTTGAGTCATTGTCATCCTCTTCCTCGCTGGCTTGGAATTCCTCCCCATCGCTCTCCATCTCCTGCCTACCCTGTGCCTCTCTCCCTGAACCCCTGACAGCGCGGTTTAGGGATTTTTTCTGAAAAAGTTGTTCAGACGTCGAGGGCTAATTCTGTTTCCGATGATAATAATCCATCTGTTTCCACCGAAAAATCTTTCAGGGGTTCGTTTGCAACAGTTTGGCACCATTTTTGAGTGAATTCCAGAACGTCAGATTTTTGTAGAAATTGTGACGCGCGGCTTAGGGATTTTTCAGAAAAAGTTGTTCAGACGTCGAGGCGCTAATTCTGTTTCCGATGATAAAAATCCATCTGTTTCCACCGAAAAACCTTTCAGGGGATCGTTTGCAACAGTTTGGCACCATTTTTGAGTGAATTCCAGAACGTCACATTCTTGCTGAAATTGCGACCGCGCGGCTTAGGGATTTTTTCAGAAAAAGTTGTTCAGACGTCGAGGGCTAATTCTGTTTCCGGTGAGAAAAACCAATCTTTTTCCACCGAAAAACCTTTCAGGGAATCGTTTGCAACAGTGTGGCACCATTTTTGAGTGAATTCCAGAACGTGAGATTTTTGCTTAAATTGTGACCACGCGGCTTAGGGATTTTTCCAGAAAAAGTTTTTCAGACGTCGAGGCCTAATTCTGTTTCCGATGAGAAAAACCCATCTGTTTCCACTGAGAAACCTTTCAGGGGATTGTTTGCAACAGTTTGGCACCATTTTTGAGTGAATTCGAGAACGTCAGATTTTTGTTGAAATTGTGACCGCGCGGCTTAAGGATTTTTTCAGAAAAAGTTGTTCAGACGTCGAGGCCTAATTCTGTTTCCGATGATAAAAATCCATCTGTTTCCACCGAAAAACCTTTCAGGTGATCGTTTGCAACAGTTTGGCACCATTTTTGAGTGAATTCCAGAACGTCACATTTTTGCTGAAATTGTGACCGCGCAGCTTAGGGATTTTTTCAGAAAATGTTGTTCAGACGTCGAGGGCTAATTCTGTTACCAACGATAAAAATCCATCTGTTTCCACCGAAAAACCTTTCAGGGGATCGTTTGCAACAGTTTGGCACCATTTTTGAGTGAATTCCAGAACGTCAGATTTTTGCTGAAATTGTGACCGCGCGGCTTAGGGATTTTTTCAAAAAAATATTTTTCTGCAATTTCAGACGTCGAGGGCTAATTCTGTTTCCGATGATAAAAATCCATCTGTTTCCACCGAAAAACCTTTCAGGGGTTCGTTTGCAACAGTTTGGCACCATTTTTGAGTGAATTCCAGAACGTCAGATTTTTGCTGAAATTGTGACCGCGCGGCTTAGGGATTTTTTCAGAAAAGGTTGTTCAGACGTCGAGGGCTAATTCTGTTTCCGATGATAAAAATCCATCTGTTTCCACCGAAAAACCTTTCAGGGGATCGTTTGCAACAGTTTGGCACCATTTTTGAGTGAATTCCAGAACGTCAGAGTTTTGCTGAAATTGTGACCGCGCTTAGGTATTTTTCAGAAAAAGTTGTTCAGACCTCGAGGGCTAATTCTGTTTCCGATGATAAAATCCATCTGTTTCCATCGAAACACCTTTCAGGGGATCGTTTGCAACAGTTGGGCACCATTTTTGCGGGAATTCCAGATGGTCTGATTTTGCTGAAATTGTGACCGCGCGGCTTAGGGATTTTTTCAGAAAAAGTTGTTCAGACGTCGAGGCCTAATACTGTTTCCGATGAGAACAATCCATCTGTTTCCACCGAAAAACCTTTCAGTGGTTCGTTTGCAACAGTTTGGCACCATTTTTGAGTGAATTCCAGAACGTCAGATTTTTGCTGAAATTGTGACCGCGCAGCTTAGGGATTTTGTCAAAAAAATATTTTCGCGCAATTCCAGACGTCGAGGGCTAATTCTGTTTCCGATGATAATAATCCATCTGTTTCCACCGAAAAACCTTTCAGGGGATCGTTTGCAACAGTTTGGCACCATTTTTGAGTGAATTCCAGAACGTCAGATTTTTGCTGAAATTGTGACCGCGCGGCTTAGGGATTTTTTCAGAAAAGGTTGTTCAGACGTCGAGGGCTAATTCTGTTACCGATGATAAAAATCCATCTGTTTCCACCGAAAAACCTTTGAGGGAATCGTTTGCAACAGTTTGGCACAATTGTTGAGTGAATTCCAGAACGTCAGATTTTGGCTGAAATTGTGACCGCGCGGTTTAGGAATTGTTTCAGAAAAAGTTGTTCAGACGTCGAGGGCTAATTCTGTTTCCGATGATAATAATCCATCTGTTTCAACCTAAAAACCTTTCAGGGGATCGTTTGCAACAGTTTGGCACCATTTTTGAGTGAATTCCAGAACGTCAGATTTTTGCTGAAATTGTGACCGCGCGGCTTAGGGATTTTTTCAGAAAAAGTTGTTCAGACGTCGAGGGCTAATTCTGTTTCCGATGATAAAAATCCATCTGTTTCAACCAAAAATCCTTTAAAGGGATCGTTTGAAACTGTTTTGCAACATTTTTGAGTGTATTTCAGAACGTCAGATTTTTGCTGAAATTGTGACCGCGCGGCTTAGCGATATATTTCAAAAAATATTTTCCGCAATTTCAGACGTCGAGGGCTAATTCTGTTTCCGATGATAATAATCCATCTGTTTCACCGAAAAACCTTTCAGGGGATCGTTTGCAACAGTTTGGCACCATTTTTGAGTGAATTCCAGAACGTCAGATTTTTGCTGAAATTGTGACCGCGCGGCTTAGGGATTTTTTCAGAAAAGGTTGTTCAGACGTCGAGGCCTAATTCTGTTACCGATGATAAAAATCCATCTGTTTCCACCGAAAAATCTTTCAGGGGTTCGTTTGCAACAGTTTGGCACCATTTTTGAGTGAATTCGAGAACGTCAGATTTTTGTTGAAATTGTGAGCGCGGCTGTCAGGGGTTCAGGAGCAGAGGCACAGGAAAGGGAGGAAATAGAGAGCGAGGGGGAGGAGTCCGAAGGAAATGTTAGCGATGACAGCGGTCCGAGGTCTCTGAGTCTTTCCAGCGAATCGGAAGATTCACAGAAAGGGGCTCCCTTGGTCAGAGCAAGGGGGTGCCGAGGGGACACCCCAGGAAGAAGGGGCCAGAGGGGACTCAGAGAGCAGCAGTTGGAAATCAGGACCAGCGTCCACACCAGAGTGCAGTAGGGGGGGAGGAGTCCCAGGCATCGGGATCAGGCGGCGCACTGCCAGTGGGAGGACATGAGTCAGGATTGGCCCCGCCTCCCTCGGGGTGCGAGGAAACGGTCGAGCGGCCGGTGGCACGCTGGGCGCGCGCGCCTAGTTCAACTGTACAGGAGGGCGGCGCAGTTGGCAGCCCGGATAGGGAGCCAGGTCCCAAAGCCCGCCGAACAGAGGGGGAGGAGTCAGGGGGGTCAGCGTCAGAAGAATCCAGGAAGGAAGGGACCCCGGGGGGTAGCAGGACCCAGAGGAGAAAGGAGAGGCGTAAGAGGTGGAGTAAGGCTAGAATCTTAAACTGGTGTACAGGGGGCGGAGACTCAGATGGAGCTTCGCCGATCTAACCCCTAGACGTAGAGCTGGGGCGCTCCGGCTGAAAATGGAAACTGTACTTCAATAAAGACTTTTGCACATTACTGCCGGCTAGCGTTGGTCCTCTGTGAGCTGGGACCTGGAGCCAGCTCTGACAGTAAGCTCCATCTCATAAAGTTTTGCACCAAAAACCTCGTAACGTGAGTGGACGCAGCGAGGAAGAAGATTGGTGCTTCGCGAGCTCACAAAAGTCAGGCAAGATGACTACAGAACAGCAACTAGCAGCCCTGCAAAATGCAGTGACACAACTCAACGCGGAGGTACTCGCATCCAGGAAAAGGGAAGAGGAAGCGGCTGCCGCCTGCAGGGATCTCCAAGCCAGGTTGGAAGTGCTTGCTAAGCAGGGGCAACCGGGACCCAAATCAGAGGGGATTGGGCTGGGGAAAAGAGGAGGCAGCCTGGTATCTCATTTCGATGGGAATTTGCAGCAGTACCCTAACTTCCGAGCAGACGTGCTGTTTGCGCTGGAACTGCTGGATAAAGACTTTAGAGATGAGCAAGAGAAGGTGGGGTTTATCTTGTCCCATTTGCATGGGGAAGCTAAAGCGTGGCTGCGCAATCTGTGGAGAGATAAGGATCCGGCGCTCCAAAATGCGGATGCATTCATTAAAGCGATGGATTCGTGTTTTTATCAAATATAGACATTGATATCGCCAGAAAAGACATACATGGGCTCAAACAAGGCAGAGCCAGTGTAAGGCAGTACCATTCCCGCTTTTTGCATTAGTCCATGCGCTGGGATGGGAGAAGGATTCTGCCCCAGCCAGAGACCTAGTTTGGGAAGGCTTGAATGCAAATGTGACAGCTGAGATTGCAAGGGGGGAGAGACCAAAGAGCACTCAGGAGGTTGTCCGGCGGGCGCTGCAACTTGGGGTGCGTCTGGAAGAACGTCCATGGAACAGAGAAGAAGGACGTTGGGGACGTACGCCAGTGAGAGCACCTCCCCTCTTTCCCAAGGATACAGCGCGTGTGCAATCCCCACCTCCGCAAGGAGGGAGAGCAACCGATGGAGATTGGAGGCGCCAGGGCTCAGTCAGCAACCAGAGCCTTAACACCGGGAGCAGTCAAGCGAAGCCTCCTAGAGGAACAGGAAGTGCTACATCTGCGACAGTGCTCAGCACATGGCGAAAGAGTGTCCCCAGAGGCTCCACAAGCACACTGCAGCCTCAGCAACAGTAACAGAAGCAACTCAGCAGAGAGAACCACAGCAGGGAACGACAGAGTCTGGTTGGAGGAAGAGGCACTGGGGCCCAGCCAGACAAGTCAATGAAGCCGTCCCCAGAGATTTTGCAGCCCACAGACCCCCTCCCGCCCAAACCAGTGGTGCAGCTCACAGCATCGCTCCAACTACCCAATGGACTCACTATGGAAGTGCCGATTACCATTGACTCTGGTAGTAACGCAGACTTCATAGGACTGGATTTCCTTCAAGAGCACAACATAGCACTCCTGCCAGCCACGCTGCCTCTGAAAGTTGTCACGGTGGATGGCAGGGAATTGCTGGGGGCAGGTGGTGCAGCAAACGCCTCCGATGGTGATGCAAATTGGGAATCACCGAGAAGTCATCAGCTTCAATGTCACCCAACTGTCGGACACGCCTATAGTATTAGGCATGAGTTGGCTGCACAGGCACAGCCCAGCATTGGCGTGGTACCAGCGACAACTGACCTTCGGCTCCTCATACTGTGCGGAACATTGCATTCTGCCTAGCCCGGAGGGGAAGAGGATGACCCGCAGCTACAATTAGGCACGCTGCAAGCAGTGCCACTCAAATGCGCAGCGTTTTGGAGGTTTTCTGCGAGAAGGAAGCGGACAAGCTACCTCCCACAGGTCTTATGACTGCAAGATTGACCTCCTGCCAGGGCGCGCTGCCAACCGGGAAACTGTATTCCATGTCCGAAGGCAGAGCTGCAGGAACTCAGGGAGTTCATAGACCACACCTTGACGCGCGGTTTCATCCGGGAGTCGAAGGCAGTGGGGGGGCAGTCCTGTATTCTTTGTGAAGAAGAAGGACACGCCCCAAAAAAGGCTTGTGGTGGACTATAGAATTTTGAACTCAAAAACCAAGCCCACAGCCTTTCCCATGCCCAAGATAGATGACCTGCTCGCAACGGTGAGGAAAGGACGCGTTTTCACAAAGTTGGATCTGCTTGGCGTACAGCCAGATTCGCAGACGGGAGGGCGGCGAATGGAAGACTGCCATGTTCACGCCCCTGGGCACCTATGAATACAGAGTTATGCCCTTTGGATTACAAAATGGCTCCCACTGTTTTCAAGCCTTCATGCATCACGTATTGGCGGGTCTCCTCTACAAGAAATGCGTCTGCTTCCTGGACGACATCCTGATATTTTCAGAATCAGAGGAGGCCCACGAGGGAGACGTCAAGGAAGTTCTGCAGAGACTGCAGGAGCACAGGCTGTACGCCAAGCTGGAAAAGTGCCAGTTCGACATGAAGGAAGTAGATTTCCTGGGCTACAAGTTGTCGGACAAGGGGCTCGCCATGGACAGCGCCAAGGTTCGCTCAGTGTTGGACTGGAAGAGCCCGCGCAATCGGAAGGAGGTCCAACGGTTTGTCGGTTTCGCCAACTTTTACACGCAAGTTCATCAAGGGGTTCGCGATGCAGGCGGCAGCCATTACCGACACACTCAGCTCCAAGAAGAAGAAGTTCATCTGGACCGAGACAGCGGAACAGTCCTTCCAGAAACTCAAGCGTCTCTTCTCGTCCGAAGAGCAGCTACTGCATGTGAATCCCAGCAGACCGATGAGGGTTGAAACGGACGCCTCAGACAGAGCCGTGGGAGCAGTACTGTTGCAGCAAGACCCGCATGGGGACTGGAGACCGTGTGCCTTCTACTCCAGGAAGCTCAGCAAGTCAGAGCAGAACTACACCATCTGGGACAGGGAGTTGCTGGCCATTCATGCAGCATTCAAGGCGTGGCGGCACTTCCTCATTGGAGCCAAACACACAGTGCAGGTCCGCACGGACCATAAAAACCTGGAGTACTGGCGCACGGCAAGGTTCCTGAACCAGAGGCACATACGATGGGCGGAGTTCTTTGCGGATTTCGACTTCAGGATAGAGTACATCCCAGGCGACAACAACATCATGGCGGATGCACTGTCCAGAAAGCCGCAATACCTCGAGAGCGGCACCAGCAGCGGCCAAGCACATTTCGCACCGAGCGTGGGCGTGCGCTTCAGCAACCGTGGACCTGGATGCTGTACGTCGAGCACTGCAGGAGGACCCCTTCGCGCAAGCAAAGATGGCAGAGGTGCAAAGGGGCACGGCGGAGGACGGCGAGTTCCAGATGCGCGACGGATTGCTCATCCGCAGAGGGCCCTCTACGTGCCGGGAGACGACCTCCGCGAAAGTACTGCAGCAGTTGCACGACGCACCCACCGCCGGGCACTTTGGCAAGAGAAGACGGTAGAATTAGTAGCCAGAGATTTTGGTGGCCCAAGATGCGGGGAAGTCGCGGATTACGTCTCGAGGTGCGACACCTGCCAAAGGGCCAAGTCAGTGCACAAACCGCCGGCGGGACTGCTCGAACCGCTGCAGACACCGATCGAACCGTGGGAGAGGGTGGCCCTGGACTTTGTCACGGATCTACCCAGCTCGAGGGCAAGGCGGCAGTGCTAGTGGTGGTGGACATGTTCACCAAAATGGCCCACTTCATTCCGTGCGCGAAGGTGGCCACGGCGGAACAGACCGCCAAACTGTTCATAGACCACGTGTTCAGGGTTCCACGGTCTGCCACGGTCTATCCTGTCCGACCGGGGCGACAGTTCATCTCGAACTTCTGGCAGAAGCTGATGGGTTTCCTGAACGTCAAGATCAACCTAGCGTCGGCGAGACACCCGCAGGCGAACGGACAAGCGGAGCGAGTCAGCGCCATCATGCAGCAGTACCTGCGATGCTACGCAAATCAGCAGCCGGCAACATGGGTGGACTACCTGCCGCTCGCTGAGTTCGCCTACAACAACACGAAGCACGTGTCCACGGGGGTGACACCGTTCTTCGCCAACAACGGGAGGCATCCCAGAACCTCCCGGGATTAGCGAGAGAGGGGGAGGGAGCCACAGGCAGCGGAAGCCTTAGCATCAGAGTTGCAGGAGGTTCACGAACAGCCGGAGGCAGTTAGAACTAGCAAAGCACGCATACAAACTGCAGGCTGACAAGCACAGAAGGGTTGGGGAAGACATACAGGTGGGAGACTGGGTTTGGTTAGCAGCCCAGGCAGTGCCGGCCAGATCGTTAGCGAAGAAGAAGCTAGGGCATAAGCAGCTAGGACCCTACCAGGTCGAGGCACAGGTCAATCCAGTGGCCTTCCGGTTGACACTGCCGGAGGGATCCAGAATGCACCCAGTTTTCCATAGATCAGTGCTCACGCCCTACAAAGCACCTCATAGATTTCAGGAGCCAGGAACGGCACCAGACCCGTTCAGGTAAACGCCCACAAGGGGGGGGGTCGCCAAGGCGGGAACCCGTCAACGAAGTCACAGAGATTTTAGACTCGAGATGGGGGAGGAGGAGTGGAATACCTCCTCGCCAAGGAAGGTACCCCGGCTAGCGCCAACAGTTGGGTGCCAGATTATGCTCTGGAGGAATCTTGGCTTAGGACGAGTTCCATGCCCTTTTCCCACACAGGCCCATGCCAGCCGAGTATTTCGACGACTGGCTTTTCACACCCACATTTTCAGCTAGCACATTCCAGGGGTTCACCTCGGACGAGGAACCGGCACTAGAAACACGTTCCCCGGAGGGATCACCCTCGGGGTCTGCCTCAGACCGTTCCTATTGGTGGGACAATCAACCAGAGGAGCAGTGGCGCAGGAAGTGGTTGGGGGGGTCCTTGGCAGGCAACGTCCCCGGAGGAGACCGGGGGAGAGACGGACATGGACGTGTTGGGGGAGGACCTTGGGTTCGAGCACGGCGGCAAAGAGATGGAAGCAGAGGACATTGAGGTCGGCGAGGCACGGAGGGCGAGCCGGACTTATCCGGCTGGATGCACGCCACGGGGGACGAGACTGTATCCGGCACTCACCCCCACAACGACGGAGCCCCCAGTACCCACACCTGAAGGAGGGGAGGGGAAGGGGGGCTTCGAGGGGATGGATGTCAGGGGTTCAGGAGCAGAGGCACAGGAAAGGGAGGAAATAGAGAGCGAGGGGAGGAGTCCGAAGGAAATGTTAGCGATGACAGCGGTCCGAGGTCTCTGAGTCTTTCCAGCGAATCGGAAGATTCACAGAAAGGGGCTCCCTTGGTCAGAGCAAGGGGGTGCCGAGGGGACACCCCAGGAAGAAGGGGCCAGAGGGGACTCAGAGAGCAGCAGTTGGAAATCAGGACCAGCGTCCACACCAGAGTGCAGTAGGGGAGGAGTCCCAGGCATCGGGATCAGGCGGCGCACTGCCAGTGGGAGGACATGAGTCAGGATTGGCCACGCCTCCATCGGGGAGCGAGAAGCGGTCGAGAGGAAGGTTGAAGGCTGGGCGCGCGCGCAAGTTCAAATGTACAGGAGGGCGGCGCAGTTGGCAGCCCGGATAGGGAGCCAGGTCCCAAAGCCCGCCGAAAGAGGGGAGGAGTCAGGAGGGTCAGCGTCAGAAGAATCCAGGAAGGAAGGGACCCGGGGGTAGCAGGACCCAGAGGAGAAAGGAGAGACGTAAGAGGTGGAGTAAGGCTAGAATCTTAAACTGGTGTACAGGGCGGAGACTCAGATGGAGCTTCGCCGATCTAACCCCTAGGCGTAGAGCTGGGGCGCTCCGGCTTGAAAATGGAAACTGTACTTCAATAAAGACTTTTGCACATTACTGCCGGCTAGCGTTGGTCCTCTGTGAGCTGGGACCTGGAGCCAGCTCTGACAGCGGCTTAGGCATTTTTTCAGAAAAAGTTGTTCAGACGTCGAGGCCTAATTCTGTTTCCGATGATAAAAACCAATCTGTTTCCACCGAAAAACCTTTCAGGTGATCGTTTGCAACAGTTTGGCACCATTTTTGAGTGAATTCCAGAACGTCAGATTTTTGCTGAAATTGTGACCGCGCGGCTTAGGGATTTTTTCAGAAAAAGTTGTTCAGGCGTCGAGGGCTAATTCTGTTTCCGATAAGAAAAACCCATCTGTTTCCACCGAAAAACCTTTCAGGGAATCGTTTGCAACAGTGTGGCACCATTTTGAGTGAATTCCAGAACGTCAGATTTTTGCTGAAATTGTGACCACGCGGCATAGGGATTTTTCAGAAAAAGTTGTTTCAGGCGTCGAGGCCTAATTCTGTTTCCGATGAGAAAAACCCATCTGTTTCCACTGAAAAACCTTTCAGGGGATCGTTTGCAACAGTTTGGCACCATTTTTGACTGGATTCCAGAACGTCAGATTTTGCTGAAATTGTGACCGCGCGGCTTAGGGATTTTTCGGAAAAAGTTGTTCAGACGTCGAGGCCTAATTCTGTTTCCGATGATAAAAATCCATCTGTTTCCACCGAAAAACCTTTCAGGTGATCGTTTGCAACAGTTTGGCACCATTTTTGAGTGAATTCCAGAACGTCAGATTTTTGCTGAAATTGTGACCGCGCGGCTTAGGGATTTTTCAGAAAAAGTTGTTCAGACGTCGAGGGCTAATTCTGTTTCCGATGATAAAAACCCATCTGTTTCCACCGAAAAACCTTTCAGGTGATCGTTTGCAACAGTTTGGCACCATTTTTGAGTGAATTCCAGAACGTCAGATTTTTGCTGAAATTGTGACCGCGCGGCTTAGGCTTTTTTCAGAAAAGTTGTTCAGACGTCGAGGGCTAATTCTGTTTCCGATGAGAAAAACCATCTGTTTCCACCGAAAAACCTTTCAGGGAATCGTTTGCAACAGTTTGGCACCATTTTGAGTGAATTTCAGAACGTAAGATTTTTGCTGAAATTGTGACCACGCGGCTTAGGGATTTTTCAGAAAAATTTTTTCAGACGTCGAGGGCTAATTCTGTTTCCGATGAGAAAAACCCATCTGTTTCCACTGAAAAACCTTTCAGGGGATCGTTTGCAACAGTTTGGCACCATTTTTGAGTGAATTCCAGAACGTCACATTTTTGCTGAAATTGTGACCGCGCAACTTAGGGATTTTTTGAGAAAAGTTTTTTCAGACGTCGAGGGCTAATTCTGTTACCGATGATAAAAATCCATCTGTTTCCACCGAAAGACCTTTCAGGTGATCGTTTGCAACAGTTTGGCACCATTTTTGAGTGAATTCCAGAACGTCAGATTTTTGCTGAAATTGTGACCGCGCGGCTAGGGATTTTTCAGAAAAAGTTGTTCAGACGTCGAGGGATAATTCTGTTTCCGATGATAAAAATCCATCTGTTTCCACCGAAAAACCTTTGAGGGGATCGTTTGCAACAGTTTGGCACCATTTTTGAGTGAATTCCAGAACGTCAGATTTTTTGCTGAAATTGTGACCGCGCGGCTTAGGGATTTTTCAAAAAAAGTTGTTCAGACGTCGAGGGCTAATTCTGTTTCCGATGAGAACAATCCATCTCTTTCCACCGAAAAACCTTTCAGGGGATCGTTTGCAACAGTTTGGCAACATTTTGAGTGAATTCCAGAACGTCAGATTTTTGCTGAAATTGTGACCGCGCGGCTTAGGGATTTTTCAGAAAAAGTTGTTTCAGACGTCGAGGGCTAATTCTGTTTCCGATGATAATAATCCATCTGTTTCCACCGAAAAACCTTTCAGGGATCGTTTGCAACAGTTTGGCACCATTTTTGCGTGAATTCCAGAACGTCAGATTTTTGCTGAAATTGTGACCGCGCGGATTAGGGATTTTTCAAAAAAGTTGTTCAGACGTCGAGGGCTATTTCTGTTTCCGATGATAAAAACCCATCTGTTTCCACCGAAAAACCTTTCGGGGGATCGTTTGCAACAGTTTGGCACAATTTTGAGTGAATTCCAGAACGTCAGATTTTTGCTGAAATTGTGACCGCGCGGCTTAGGGATTTTTCAGAAAAAGTTGTTCAGACGTTGAGGGCTAATTCTGTTTCCGATGATAAAAATCCATCTGTTTCCACCGAAAAACCTTTCAGGGATTCGTTTGCAACAGTTTGGCACCATTTTTGAGTGAATTCCAGAACGTCAGATTTTTGCTGAAATTGTGACCGCGCGGCTTAGGGATTTTTCCAGAAAAGGTTGTTCAGACGTCGAGGGCTAATTCTGTTTCTGATGATAAAAACCCATCTGTTTCCACAGAAAAAACTTTCAGGGGATCGTTTGCAACAGTTTGGCACCATCTTTGAGTGAATTCCAGAACATCAGATTTTTGCTGAAATTGTGACCGCGCGGCTTAGGGATTTTTCAGAAAAAGTTGTTCAGACGTCGAGGGCTAATTCTGTTTCCGATGAGAAAAACCCATCTGTTTCCACCGAAAAACCTTTCAGGGAATCGTTTGCAACAGTTTGGCACCATATGTGAGTGAATTCCAGAGCGTCGGAGTTTTGCTGAAATTGTGACCGCGCGGCTTAGGGATTTTTCAGAAAAAGTTGTTCAGACGTCGAGGGCTAATTCTGTTTCCGATGAGAAAAACCCATCTGTTTCCCCCGAGAAACCTTTCAGGGATCGTTTGCAACAGTTTGGCACCATTTTTGAGTGAATTCCAGAACGTCAGATTTTGCTGAAATTGTGACCGCGCGGCTTAGGGATTTTTCAGAAAAAGTTGTTCAGACGTCGAGGGCTAATTCTGTTTCCGATGATAAAAACCCATCTGTTTCCACCGAAAAACCTTTCAGGGGATCGTTTGCAACAGTTTGGCACCATTTTGAGTGAATTCCAGAGCGTCAGATTTTTGCTGAAATTGTGACCGCGCGGCTTAGGGATTTTTCAGAAAAAGTTGTTCAGACGTCGAGGAGCTAATTCTGTTTCCGATGATAAAAACCCATCTGTTTCCACCGAAAAACCTTTCAGGGATCGTTTGCAACAGTTTGGCACCATTTTTGAGTGAATTCCAGAACGTCAGATTTTGCTGAAATTGTGACCGCGCGGCTTAGGGATTTTTTCAGAAAAAGTTGTTCAGACGTCGAGGGCTAATTCTGTTTCCGATGATAAAAACCCATCTGTTTCCACCGAAAAACCTTTCAGGGGATCGTTTGCAACAGTTTTGCACCATTTTTGAGTGAATTCCAGAACGTCAGATTTTTGCTGAAATTGTGACCGCGCGGCTTAGGGATTTTTCAGAAAAAGTTGTTCAGGCGTCGAGGGCTAATTCTGTTTCCGATGATAAAAACCCATCTGTTTCCACCGAAAAACCTTTCAGGGATCGTTTGCAACAGTTTGGCACCATTTTTGAGTGAATTCCAGAACGTCAGATTTTGCTGAAATTGTGACCGCGCGGCTTAGGGATTTTTCAGTAAAAGTTGTTCAGACGTCGAGGGCTAATTCTGTTTCCGATGAGAAAAACCTATCTGTTTCCACCGAAAAACCTTTCAGAGGATCGTTTGCAACAGTTTGGCACCATTTTTGAGTGAATTCCAGAACGTCAGATTTTGCTGAAATTGTGACCGCGCGGCTTAGGGATTTTTCTGAAAAGTTGTTCAGACGTCGAGGGCTAATTCTGTTTCCGATGAGAAAAACCCATCTGTTTCCAACGAAAAACCTTTCAGGGGATCGTTTGCAACAGTTTGGCACCATTTTTGAGTGAATTCCAGAACGTCAGATTTTTGCTGAAATTGTGACCGCGCGGCTAGGGATTTTTTCAGAAAAAGTTGTTCAGACGTCGAGGGCTAATTCTGTTTTCGATGATAAAAACCCATTTGTTTCCACCGAAAAACCTTTCAGGGGATCGTTTGCAACAGTTTGGCACCATTTTTGAGTGAATTCCAGAACGTCAGATTTTTGCTGAAATTGTGACCGCGCGGCTTAGGGATTTTTCTGAAAAAGTTGTTCAGGCGTCGAGGGCTAATTCTGTTTCCTATGAGAAATAGCCTTCTGTTTCCACCGAAAAACCTTTCAGGGGATCGTTTGCAACAGTTTGGCACCATTTTTGAGTGAATTCCAGAACGTCATATTTTTTCCTGAAATTGTGACCGCGCGGCTTAGGGATTTTTTTAAAAAAAGGTGTTCAGACGTCGACGGCTAATTCTGTTTCCGATGATAAAACCCATCTGTTTCCACCGAAAAACCTTTCAGGGGATCGTTTGCAACAGTTTGGCACCATTTTTGAGTGAATTCCAGAACGTCAGATTTTGCTGAAATTGTGACCGCGCGGCTTAGGGATTTTTCAGAAAAAGTTGTTCAGACGTCGAGGGCTAATTCTGTTTCCGATGATAAAAACCCATCTGTTTCCACCGAAAAACCTTTCAGGGATCGTTTGCAACAGTTTGGCACCATTTTGAGTGAATTCAGAACGTCAGATTTTGCTGAAATTGTGACCGCGCGGCTTAGGGATTTTTCAGAAAAGGTTGTTCAGATCTCGATGGCTAATTCTGTTTCC